TAACTTACAAACTTAGTCTTGGTTTGTGAAGTTCATGTGCAACTCCTGCAAATAGTCAAGTAACTGGACAAACAGAAAGAATAAGAATTGTCTGATGCAGGTTGTGTTGGTTTGCACTATTTCCTGTGCAGTAAATAAAACATAACAAGTCATTTGATAGCTGTGTTTTCAGGGCCCAGTTTGTTTTTACTCTAACCCTGAATACATTCCAATAATTACCATTTTATTTGCTCCAAAGAAATGACACTTATCTTAGGAATGATATACCCTTAATACATTCTGACTTGAATATAGATATATACTTGTAGGTTAACACTGCTGCTTCTAAAGTTCAGACAACATATGAGTGTTCGGGTAAACCAATGGTTTGGTTGCTGCAAGTGTGATTATCAGCTATTTAATATCAATTATTAAATTTGATGGCCATCTGACACTTCAGGGCCTCTCAATAACCCACATTGTCTTACATGGCTTAAAGGGGGGTTTGCGTGGTTTGGCATGATGGGGCAGGGGAATCTACAGTATTGATTTCTGGAATCCTCTGCTACAATTGCTGTGTTGTACCAGTGAAAACAATCTTATATTTCATGATTGAAAAAAGCACCACTTATGCAAGATATTTTGGGTTCATATGGTTTAAATTTGTAAGTTTGTTTAATGAATGTCTGCCTTTTGTAGAAGAGTCATTTGGCAGAGGTAAAATTGATTACTAAATTTAGATAGAAATAACAACCAATGAATTTCAAACAGATTGTTAATTAACAAACAAGTAAATTACATGCCATTAATCAGAATGAAATTGACATTTCTGCATCTCATACAGTGTGACTGTCTATCACTCAAACATACACTTGCACGATTAAATGTTGAAATTGACATGAAATTGATCAGCAAAACAGTACAAAGAAGAAACTTTTTCAGATTTGTTTTCTTGTCAAGCCAAATGTAAATGTACTTCCTATCCAGAATTTCCGATAATGAAAGAAGTGTATAATTTGGACCCACGCCTGCACTTCCCCCTGCGTCTGCCGGCGGGAACAACTATTGCTGGTTTGACAAACATTGACAGGGAAGAGAGGGATCTGGCCTTGGCACAGACTTGAGACAAGAAGAGGTTTTACAACAAGGAAACCACAAAAAAGCAGTGGTTGTCCTTTTTTTAATTGGGGGTATCCAGAACTAAGGTGGGGCAGTGGGAGCATCAACATAGCCAAACATCAGGATTGCATGGCAGGGTTTTCAAAGACTCATCAAAGAAAACAGTTTCATTTTCCATAGTACTTCTCATCTAAGTTGAATTTAATCAAAGTATTTCTGATAGTGAAGTTGTTTTAGCATTAATCATCAAACATCTCAATGATTAATATCATTGATACAAATAAATTATCTTAAAAGAAAAATGCATTGCCATTTCTGTATCAAAATTCATTAATAATAAAGCCAGATTCACATAAAATCATTTACACAAACAATTAATATGCTGATAAGGAGCAATGGGATATGGCAGACAATAATTGAAGCATTTGGTTGAAGAAGATGTTATTATCTTGAATTCTTCTCATGAACTAGCTCTTGTAGTGGTTAGATATGTGATCAGCACGATATCTGATAATACGAGGAAGACCCTGCCTCCTTACCTGCTGCCCAACTCACGTCTATCTCCACTGTGTGCAACTCTCTCAAATAAACACTCCAACACATGGAAATAAGTTCCGTTAAGTTCATCAAAACTTGATCTAAATAACTTGTCTTCCATAGTGATTCTCAGGGACAACCACTGACATGCTGCTGTTCCTCATCTCCCTTCACAAGGAAGGTTTCTGCTGCATGGAAGGGGAAACATTTAAGCCTGGTGGTGTTCATGTCATGTAAACATAGTATGGGGCTACGTTGATACATGACGCTGCTGATAACAGGTTAAAGTCAAACATACATATGTACATTTCGACTTCCCTGATAAAACACAGATAACATACCAACAAGTCTCCACTTTCCTTCATGACGAAACATTTGACAGCAATAATTTAATTATCTCATGTTATGTTTTGGAGAAATTAATATATATTTGCCAATAAATATATTAATATTGATATTCACTTTCATGAGATTATTAAAATGTCTGATGTGATAACTGTAAAAAAAATCCAATTTGGGGTAATGAGCATAGCTCTTGGAATATGATAATATGAAATGCAATAAATTGTAGAGGCAAGATTTGAAGACATGTTTTCCGGCCCGGAGCGGGACCATGAATTGTTGGTGGCATCTGACATGCACACCGCCCAGTAGGAAATGGGGCTGTTGTATCTATGTCAGGCATAATGATACAAAGTGCACTAAGGTGGCAAAGGTAAAACACATGCTTATAGATTATGAAATTCAACATACATCCTTCTTTGTTAAAAAGAACTGCCATTTAACAAATACATACAAGTTTCATATGGTTTCATGTCTTTTGATGATGTCGAGAAAGTTTATTTTGTCTCTTTCTGAAATGACTTTTTTATTGGCCCAAACCTGCCTTAATATTTTAAAACAATGTAATGTCTGCCTGTCTGTCTGTCTGTCTGACCCCTCTGTCACCTCACTAAAGAAGCTGCACACTTTCCCAGGTTGACATATTTCCCAGCAATATATGTGAACAAATATCAATTTGAACTGTTTGATTGGCAAATTTAGAACTTGGTAAGTAACAGTAAAGACAAAATATTTTGTGGACAACTTCTATTATGAAGCAACATTTTGGTATGGATCCTCATACCGTTGTCAAGCAGGAGTGACACAGTATGAGGATGTATACTGAAACATTGCATCACAATAGAATGAAGAAGTTGTCATCCATAAAATATGTTGTCTTTACAAATACCAATATGTATTCACATTATTTATTCCTGGCAATATATAGGAATCACATCACACTATATATCAATGTGTCCTGGCTGAATACACACACAAAAATATTATGTTCTTTACACTTTGTCCTTTGTTATTTTATACAGCATGACGGGATATATTCAAGAAAAGTGTATATATCCTGTCAATTTCAAGACTATTTCTGCCCATGTCTAGCGGTATGACAAGAAAGCACTGCCAGAGAACATGTATAAATAATGGTAAACCAATACACATGTACAACCAGGCATCCGGGCACTGAGATCCTTGACAAGATGTCTGATGCTCAACAAAATTCTGATCAACAAGATTACTCAATATATGTAACATTTTCAAATACAAATTATTAACAATTTCATATGTTTTTAACAATGGTATTAACTTCCTCAGAAAATAAAGAAGAAAAGTGACATCATTTCACATAAATATTCACAGAAGAGAGACAGTCTAACAAATGAAGAATGAAACTCACAAGATATGTGAAATCCACAGGTAACTATTGCAGTACCGAGCAGTCAGGTGAGATGCCGACACACTGTGAGATATTGGACAGTCGGCTCGCCACATCCTTTGTTAATGTTGTCAAGATGGAACAAGTAACATGCCAGGATACCCCTACCACAAGGTAGCTGAATAATTAATGGCTGCTGAATCATTTGCATATTGGCATTATGAATATTTGATGTGAGGCAGTGTGTAAACTGTTCCCATCTCTAGTTTCAGTAGGTGACAAGCGGGCAAGGCAGATTGCAATTAACCTGTAGTGTGCCTGTACAGCCCCACAGTAGACAGTACTGGAGGGTAACAAGTGGCCCAAGTTCATCGCACCCTGACCCTACATTATCACATTTCTCTCCTTAGAAACCTGCCTCATATCAACCATATGTTGACGGGAACACTAAAGAAATATTGACTTCGGAAGAAATCTATATCCATAATAACATTCATTTGAATAGAAAGTTTCATCACAGTATGATGACAAACATGTTCGAGATAGATAATTGTATGATTTAAGGTGATTTCTAAAACATGTATCTCTATATGAATGCAACTATGAAAAAGGTTAAATATGAATAGCATTGCTGAAAAGATCTCACCTTTCATACACATGAATATTACATACCATTCAAAAATCAATTTTTTGAATTTTGAATAAAAAGTTATCATTTATATTTTATTTTTAAGTGGATTTCAGAAGTCTTAGTTAATTACTAACTATTGTCAAATATAAAATCTTTTTGTCAAATTGCAGCCTTCATTTCATTTTCAGGGACCATCGATCAAGGTTTAGCTGAGAGATGAGTCCCATCAGCACAAGCAGAAAAAGACAAGTAGGATATATACATTGGAGGGGGTGGGGTGGGGGGGGGGGGTGGGGGTATATTGACATGGTGGTGTTGATAGATAGCTTATGGCGACAGGGATTTAATGTCTCTACTAGACGACAGCAAGCACTCATCAATCAACATTACTAGATGAAGGTAATGATCATTGCCAAAAATATTTCTTTTTCTTATATTTAGCTAAGACTACCATGTATGGATATGTAAATACCTTTTATACCTTTGTAAATGGCACTATATGGCTGTCCCTATTTGAATCATTCTACTAACTAATAAGTTTGTCTTTGCATGAGACATGTTTTATGTTTTATATGAAATACTATTTCCTTTAATTGTTATCAATAATGTCTATCAAAATAACTATAATAACATACAAGCAAATGTATTCATCATGTACAGATCCTTTGAACAAAATCTGAAAAATAATTTTCAAACATATAAATAACAGTAAAAAGTACCTTAGTAAACTACTAGCCCAAATTTTGAAACTAGCAAGATTTCCCAACATCCCTTACAATGAACCCATTTTCAAATGTGTCTACAATGCTCCCTACTGTATCCCTCATGAAAGGAAGTCCCAGCTTAATTAATACATGGAGTGAAATAAGCTTACCATTTCCATGTGCGCTGTACAGGAATCTGCCACTTAATGAGAAGCAAGCATGCAATCAGCGACAGTTGTCAGAAATTCACGCCAGGAAATGAGTGTCAAAGTGTAAGGTACATCGCTACATACTACAACAGTTCCGTCATGTGTGTCCTCACCTGTGCCGTTGCTAAAGACGTCGCCGCATCTCTGCATCACCTGCTGTCATGTTCGAGTGCAGCCCACGCCTCGCTGATAGCCGCTCTGTAAGAGACGAGCAAAACCTTTCAGCAAGAGAACACTACTTCCTGGGCCGGCCCCACTGTAGAGACAGCTCCCTTGTCTTGTAGCCAGCCAAAGACAAGAGTGTGTAATGATGCAATAAATACATCCTCACTATAACAACTAAGCTGAAATGAACATTATATATGTTAAATTTGAAACACACTTTGAAATAGAGATCGTAATCAGTTGCTATACCAACAGATACTGACATAACCTGACATATGTGAGATAAAGATTAAAATGTACATGTCCTTATAGTGAAGGTATTGAAATCGATTTCTACTTGTAGACTCAGGTAGAAGTGGCTGTATTCAACTTGTAGCCAGGGGATTTTAAGGTAAATTCATGAAATACTGTCAGATTCTCCTGCTCAGACCCAACTGAATCGTGGTGCCTTAAAGAGATTACCATATATTAGTGTAGGTACATGCATTCACACACAGCTCACCACCACCCAGTACTGTTGGCATTTGTCACACAAAAAGGGATAGATAATAGATGTAACCAACGGAAACAATTGTTCCATATTGACAGGAAGCAAGTGAAACAACTAAAGCATGCCAGACAGTGGGACTTTGTTGTTGCCAAGTGAAATCAACATCAGACTGACAGTTGATTAATGAATCAAAGCACTTGCACAGTGTCCTCACCTGCAAATTGTCATATTAAAACCAGAAACCCTTACCACAGAACCTTCATATTTTCTTTGTCAAAATAAACCAACAACACTTCTTTTACAATTCAATGTTTTTTAAGAGTACCGGTAAGTAGTATTTTGAAATAAGATTCCGGTCCGGGTTCAGATCAAACGTTGGTTCTTCATTTGGGTGAAGTAAACTTACATCAATAAGAAAATAGAAGAAATATTAGAGACAATTAAGTATGGGTAAATGTACCATAGAAGTATGGGTAGGTTGTGTTTGAGATGTTGGCCCTCGGAAGAATCTCTATCAAACTGATGTCTTACCTGAGATGTTCAAGCTGATGACATCAGCAGAAATGAAGGCACCAAGACAAACCCAGTCCAATCTATCTGTGATTGATTCCTCCAGCCTCCATCAACCAACCTAACATATACTTTATCTCCCAATTAACTATCACTGTCATGTGACTAAGTTCAATCTCCTTAGCATCTGCTTTCTTCTCTGTGGGAGAAATTATTTCACAAACAGAAACTTGCCTCAACTATTGTACTGCCAGCACTCAGTAATCAGGTTAAAGACAGCTGTTGATTTAATCCCAAGATGAAAGAGTGAAACATTGGCCACTCTGACGTTCTACTTTCACAGGTATATTGTTTTCCAATCACCGTCTACTGTCTCCCCATCTGCCCTTTTAACAGCTTAACACTCTGGGGTGAACTTGATAAAAAACACTTTTTCCACATTGTGAAGTAAACAAACACATTACTGTCTTCAAAGGAACCAGAGAGGTTTCCATAAACTGAAACTGGATTAATGAAATGTTTAGTTTTAAGTGTTGAAGAGGAATTGTAATCAACCTAAAGTCTAGCCGTGTGTTAATTAGGCCACAAAGAGTGGCCAGATAGCAGAACAATGGTCTTTAAATCCTGTGTGACCCAAGGTCTGTTAAACAATGACCTATCACAACACACTTAGTTTTAATGAGTTTAAAAGCAAATGTGGCAATTATTCATGTGAGATGTTTGAGGAGAGATAAATATTTGACATTTCCCAAGTGTACTTCACTGCTTTGGTATATTTGATTGATGAAGTCATTGTTTCAACTGAAGCACTTCAAGTAAATATTCCACTTCCTTTGATGTACAAAATGGAAGTCGGAAGTACTTTTGTCAACTTTGAAAAAACACATTCAAAAGTACACTTTAAAAACAAATCTTCTGGTATCTTTTAAATATAAAAATCAATTATGAATATGTTTTTTTCTATCAAAACAACTAATAATTAACTACCAGTGAATTATTCTACAAGTAAAGTTTAAGTAATAATAACAATAGTAATGAATAGAATTGTTTAATGAAACTATTATATTGATCACCAATATTAATCTCACTTATTGTAACATTGACCGAAGACATCACTAATTGTCTTACATACCATTATAATTGCTTCAGGTCCTTAAAACCACAGCCTTTTCTGATGATAATGAACATAAAACTCAGTCAAATGGAAATCCTACCAGGCGCCACCAGGTGCTCAACCATGAACAGTTTGAACATGTTGCTCACCCATAGAAATATGTTTCAGCTGATGTGTTTGTGTTCAAATTGTGGCACTCTTTGTATAAAGTGTTGTTTCTACTGTCATGAGAGTGGGCACAGCAGTGCTCATTAACTTGACATCTTTAATTACAGTCTTCTTTCTGGATGTTTTACAATTGACATATTCTAATCTTTAAAAAAACCTGACTTTATGACACTAAAAGGAATTTTGAGAAATAATTTATATTAAAATTAATGTTGATAATTCCTTTCTTTGTAGTCTGTAAACTCCTAGACATGTGAGTGACAAGACTCTGACAGCACTTTCATATCATGGTTTATTATTTTCTTATGAAATATTTATATCAATTACTTTGTTTTATTGAAAATTGATAGAAAATATCTGCTAGGCTGAGGTTAACTTGACCTGTGGCTTCTGACTTTCATTTACTGTGTTGGCAATGTGCAGCTTTTTGCTTTGTAGTTGGGCAAAGAAGTGACTTGTTCTCCAACTCCTAAATTTGTTTCCCTCCCAGGCATATATGGTATTTTATTAACATCACTAGAACAAATGAGATCTCAACATTCGGACATGGAGGTAAGGACATTTGTCACACTCTAAAGCCAAAATGGTTGCTTGTCTCAAACTGACATGGTCAAATTCTAAAAGCAATTAAATGACTTTAAGCTTCACTCTTGAAAACAATTGTGATGAAAATCTACAAAAGTCTACATTGTTTTCTAGCTGAAAAAAATATACTAACTAAGAAACAATATTTTGGTGTTTTAGCGATGGCATCTGCAGTGACAGTTGGACAACTGCTTTTGTTTTTCATGACAAAAGTAATTTTATCTTGAGAGGGACTAAGACAATTTTAAAAATTCATGCTGGTTCATCTTAAGCATCTTAGTTGTTCAAGCATGACTGGCTAAGGCTGCAACTTTGGATGACAAGTCACTTGTAACTACTGAAGCAGAACCATTCTTAATTTATAGCATCCAAATCAATCTAGTTATTCACAAGGCAGCTCTGTGTGTTCATCAGTTCTTGGGTAAGCTGAAGCTGGGTTTGTAAAGGTTGTGTAGATGACATCACTCATTCTCACCTCTCAACAAGGTGTTAATTGTCTCGTCACAGTTACATTCTTCTGGTCTAATTGTGTCTCATCAATAAAGCATGCACTGGTGCGGAAATAAACTCCCACTTGGAAAACATGTTGAGACAATACCATTGCAAAACAATATTTGTAAAAATTTAAGAAACAAATGACTTTGAAATCGATTTTTTAGATCATACATATTGCAACAATTGAAAGAGGATTGAAAATTGAAAACAAAAGTTTTAACAGCAAGGACCATGCAAAGAGCAGATCAGTGCAAACTGGCTTTGCATCATCTTGGCCTTCAGAGTGGAGTGAGTGTCGCTTCACACAGCAGTCATGAAACTCCAAGCCATATCATGCTAGCCTCTAAATAATCAAGTCGCTGGTTACTTGAAGCATGTGCAGTAATCTCCACCATGAGGGTATGATGACACAGCCAGGTCACCCAGCCTGACCATCGGATCCCCATTCAGTCTTACAACAAACAACATGAGGAACTGAAGGCCTATCTTCACCTGAAATCCCTAGAGGGATTGTTTTAATAAAAACAGACTTTCATAACTATTTGGTCAAGCATATTGGCTGTATAAATCATTTTGACAAACAAACACATCAGGATATCCCCATAAATATATATTGTTACACTGTATCTCCTATGAGATGGAAGACTGGGAGGCCACAGACTGGGAAGTGCATGGGTCTTGTCTTCACATCCTAGTTACCAGGCTCCGGGTTGATACTCACACGCTACATCAACTGATGCTAACAGATGGTTCAAGTGTGACCAACATTTGTCTCTCCTCTCTCAGACACCCATTAAATCCATTAATTTTCTCACCTTCTCACAAGTGATTTTGCAATCCTCTCACTGCACGCTATGTCTCTTGTTAGATAAGATATGACCCAATCTCCTAATCCTTTATTTACACAATCAGTCATCCTCCAATATTGGCTAACACCATTCATATTCAAGTAGCTATATCATTGCAATTCCCCTGTCTGTCAAATAGACACTTGATAACTACCATGTCTATTCTAGTATATTCTATTAACACACGTTTTCTATAGGCTGGTGCACACTTGATGCTTGATGAAGATGTGCATATATCAATGGTATGGCATGATAGGACCATGTAGAAGGTCCTTACAAGTATCAGGTCTTGTATCGGATCAAGGTTTCAGGGTTTCAAGCTGTTTGAAGGATGTAAACTATAATCATTTGCAAAATGATGGCTCCTGAAATTGTTTTAGATTTGACAATAAAATGCAAATCAATACACCAGTTGATGTTCTCTTCAACTTTGATTCCACACATTTGTCAGAGTCTACACAGAACACAACTGTGTCCACCAATGCCTTCCCAAGTTAAAACCTGGTTGTTTTCATTCATTAAATGTAAGTTACTATGAAAGTTAACAATAAAATTTAACCACCTATGTTTTTTAAACCATTTTGTAAACTGACATAAAAAATACAGAATAATGCTAGCTTTTTAAAGAACAGACTCTACAACATCTATTTGACACTGTCGACCTAACTGAAACAGTTTTGGTTCATGTGAGCAAACCGGGGAAGGCATTTACACCTTCTCCACATGGTCCACTGCACCTTGATATCTAGATGACAAATGGTGATGGATTGATGTTGACAGGCCTCGGGTGTGGCGGGATGCTGGAATAGGTACGTCTTGTGTC